CAGCCTGAGCAGCCTATGCAGCCTGAGCATGCAGCCTGAGCATGCAGCCTGAGCAGCCTATACAGCCTGAGCATGCAGCCTGAGCAGCCTATGCAGCCTGAGCATGCAGCCTGAGCATGCAGCCTGAGCATGCAGCCTGAGCAGCCTATACAGCCTGAGCATGCAGCCTGAGCATGCAGCCTGAGCAGCCTATGCAGCCTGAGCATGCAGCCTGAACAGCCTACATAGTCTATGCAGTTCTTGAGCATGCGGTTGGCCCAGCCAGTTTTACTAGAGCCACCTCCGAAGCATTTACCAATGTGTCTTTGTTGGATCCTAAATGGCCACCAGAAATCTTTGATTCCTTCTGTACCGCCCTGTATAGCCTTCTGTGACACAGCTATCCTGACTGGATCTTCCTAATCCTAGTAGACTTTGTCCTCTGCTTCACTTCTTCAAGAGAGGAGAAAGTCACACACACACACACACACACACACACACACACACACACACACACACACACACAGAGAGAGAGAGAGAGAGAGAGAGAGAGAGAGACAGAGACAGAGACAGAGACAGAGAGGGCAGTCAACCCAAGTCAATATGCCTGAGCTCCTGAGTTTACACGAGCTGATAGCTATCGTTCAGTTTTATCTCTCACTTACATTGGGCTGTCCAGCATTAGGGTATTTGACAGCAACACTCGGGACATCTGCCTGTTTGTGTTCCGTAAGACCCAGTTCCTGGAGCCTCCTTTTATTAGAACCCAGAGAAAATGGAATGGAGTGGGGAAAGCAAACCCCAAAGCCCCCAGAAAGCTAGATGCAAAGTGTTGCAGTACACTCCATTCCCACAAGAAGGCAGTCTCCTTCATCTTTGATAAAGAGCAGTGGGAGCCAGGCGGTGGTGGCACATGCCTTGAAGCCCAACTAGGGAGGCAAAGGCAGGCGGATCTCTATGAGTTCTCGGCCAGCCTGCTCTAGAGAGTGAGTTTCAGGACAACCAGAGCTACACAACGAAACTCCGTCTCATAAAAGAGAGAGAGAGAGAGAGAGAGAGAGAGAGAGAGAGAGAGAGTTTAATGGAACAATCCCTATTTAGCTCAATCCCTATTTAGCTAACGGTAATTGATGTCTACTAGTACCAGGGGCATACGCTTGAGTGTGTATTCTCTCCCTGCTCTCCTCCATTCTCTTATTCAAGTCCCATCTGGCTACAAAGGGTCATAGCTCAGTGCCACGTACTGACACACCTCCTTGGTGGTACCCCTTATCCCCCATCTCCCACTCATTTCTGAAAGAAGGTGTTTTCATTTTGGTTTGGGTTTTAGCTCAGTCACAGCAGCAGTATGGCGTTGTTCCCAACCCCCACCCCCTTTTATTCTGGGCCACTTTGATGCCCTGTTATGTTAACCAGTGTCCAGCCAGGAAACAAATCCCATCAGCAATTTAAATGGAAACTTTTAAGAATTATTAACTCATGGAAAATATAAAAAAGCTTTCCACGTATAAAAAAAGCATAAAAGAGATTCTAAGAAGCTCGCGAATGGCCAACTGAAAAAGAAGTTACTATGATGAGGAAAGATTGCCAGGTGAAGAACTAAGCCCCTTGGGGGATTCTCCTCAAAGCTGCGGTCCAGGCCTTTACTGAGAGAACATGGTTCTGTCGAGCTGATGATGTCATGCAGGCTGATGGGAGCAAAGAACTGATCCACAGGACTAAGTGGTTATTGCCAGAAGGTGGGTCCACAGAGTGGCCTTTTACGGCTGACAGGTGGGGTGCCTGGAGCAGGCATGTCAGAGCAGCTTGTAGTGTGGGGAGATGGTGCCTGGGGGTTCAGTGACGCTGTGCTGGGGAAGCAACGGCTAACTTTCTCCCAGGTCTGACTTTAGGGATCTGGGAAACAGAGTCCCAGGCTAGGAAGGAGCCTTCTCTATGAACACCTTCAAAGGGAGGGAGAACGTTGGGAGTCAGCAACCTGTTGGTGCCCCAAAAGAAATTCTGGTACCCAAGGGCTCCGAGTAATAGTTTTGCTTTTACAGGGTCCCCAGCTATCTTACGGTAGGTTGGGATACGCAAGACTGAGATATGGAAAGCCAAGGTTCTGTGTGAACTCAGAGGGAACCTTCCTTCCAAAGAAAGGTTCTGAAGTATGGGGCCAACTTCCAAGACCCTAGAAGTAGACCACGAACAAATGGGACAAATGTCTCTGGTTATGTCCACTGAGAAATGCTGCAGCTACTGCTTCAGATTGAGGCTCCCTATGGAAACTCTCGGCCTGGGAGTCGCCGAGGACAATATTGCTCCAGGAGATAGGTTCTTACCCTAACCCAGGAGCCAGGTCACTCCACACTAACATAGAGGGAGACCGGTGGGCTCTCCCCAGTCCCTCTTACAGTATGCAAGCCCCATTTGGCAGGAACTACCTGTTTATCTCAGTTCAATCGGGGAGTGGGGGTGGGGGACCCAGTTCCCTCTATTGTGGCTCAAACATCCTTCTAGTGGGCTAGGCAAAGGTCTAGTGGAGAAGAAGGGAACTGTCCCATAGCGTCACAGTCAAGTCAACATTGAGAACAGTTAATACATTACACACAAGACCAAGGGCACATGAAAAAACTTTGCCCCAACAAAACAACCAACAAAGCTCCAAGAACAATGACAGCCTGATGTGCTCTGGGTGGGGGGAGGGCAACCCTCCAGGCTCAATCACACCAAAAACAATCCAGACTGGAGGATCTCTGTCCTTAATCAAACAGACATCAGGGGCTTCCACATCCCTGTCAGTCAGACATGCACCTTTTTTTTTTTTCTTGGAAGAGAAGGAGAGAGTAAAGTAACAATGATCACAACAAAACATACACATACATAAAAAAAAAAAACCCACAAAATGGCTCTGACAATTTCCTGGGACAAAATACAAAGTGGCACTTCCTCCCACCGTGGGGGAAGATACCCAAAGATGCTCCTAAACCAAATGGTCACCTCTGAGGTGGCCTTAGGGCTCTGGGACGTCTCCCTTGGCCGCCAGGTTCACTGTCCCGGACACGTCTGTCCCAGTGAGAGCCTGCAAAGTACAAATCAAGCCTGCAAAGTACAAAACAAAAGTAGAAAGACAGAGAGACACAGACAAGACAGAGAGCGCTCATACCGGTAAAACATCTCTAATCACACCATAAAAACTAAAAAAGGCGTCGGGGACATTTTCCCATCTCTGATTAATTTGTTAGTATCTTTTCCAACCTTGTTCCAAGTCAGAGGGTGAATTCCTGGTCCATTAATCACTAACCAGGGACATTTCTCCTCCATATATTGGAAGAATTTTATTAAATCCTCTTTTTTTTTTTTTTAACTCTTATTTCTCTCTCCCTAAGATTACCTTTCATCTCCTTTAGAAAAACAGCCTCTTTAGACAAATTTTTGCCCTTGATCGATGGGACGACATATTTACCTCAAGACTCTCCCACGTTGCACGAGTGATGCAGTCCGGGCGTCTCTACCCTGATCCTCTCCGGGGCCCCTTCTGTTGTCCGTCGTCCGTCCGGCAGGTCACCGTGCCTCGGGCCCCACATTGGGCGCCACTTGACCCGTCCCGTGGGCCAGGTTATTGGGGAGACCCGAGGAGGCACCTCCTGAAAGATCAATGGGGGCGAGAGAGAAAAGAGACCAGGCGCAATAAGGGAAGACAGAGTCAGTCTGAGTCGCGTCAAGGTCTCGTTTATTGACTGAGTATTGAGGCTTATAAGCAGGGCTTCAGGTAGGGAGGGGAGCAGAGGAAGCAGGGATAGAGAAAATTCCTAAGGAGGGGGTCAGGGGCAAGGTCGCTTTGATCCCGGGCCCCCTGCAGTTGACAGGCTCCAGAAAGTTTACCTAATCGCCATCTCCTGCAGTTAGGCCAGGAAGGTCTTATCTAGTCATATCTCCTGCAGTTAGGCCAGGAACCTGTTTTTTGCAAGGTTTGATAAAGTAAGGAAGGTCACACAAAATTCAAGACACAGCTGTCCGGAGTTGGTCTCTAACACTCCCCAAGCACTGAGGCTTCCCTAGACAGAATGGGCACATTTAAAGAGAGAAACGCCCTCTGAGATAAGGGGTTCCTTTTCCTTTTCCCACGTCCTAGGACAAGTCTGAATTTGTTTGGCTTCCCCACCAGGTGTCGCTGTTTACTCATAAAAAGCAAAAAAAAAAAAAAACAGACTGCTTTTTTATTTTTAATCAATTTATTTATTTGAATTTTAGATAGGGTCTCACAGTGTAACTTTGACTGTCATGGGATTTGCTATTTAGACCAGGATGTTCTTGAACTCAGAAAGATCTGCCTGCCTCTGCCTACCTATTGCGGGGACAGCACCACCACACCCTGCCCAAAATTGTCTTTTGAGGACAAGTGGCAATCCTCCAGTCTCAGCCTCCCAAGTGCTTAGAGCTCCCCGTGCCCCGCAAACGCTCTTGAGTTGGTTGTTAAATACACCAGTGCACCCCTAGTCATAACGAGCATTTAGTAATACTGATTGAGAAAGTGAGGCCCAGCAGTGCCACACTGAATGAGAGAGTTTGGAGATGGTAAAAACTGCTGGAGAGGAAGTAAGGAGAGTTGAGATGATCTGTCCCCAACAATGTGTTAAATGTTGCCAGACTGAAAAATCCAAAGATTTGGAACCCCGGACTTCCCAACTCTCTCGGGAATCCATAGCCACCAGGGCCTGGGCACAGGACAAACGTTCCGCGTGGTCAGGGTTGGCCCGCGAGTGGACACAGATCCACAAACCAGGCGGTGACACAGCTCCCCATGGACTTTAAGCCAACTGGGGCATCCACACCCTGGTCCAGCGGAGCGACAGGTGTGGGTCCGCTGGACTGGGATGGGGTGAGGGGTGGGGCATCTGGGTTGGGGTGAAACTGCACCCAGCTGCCCTGCACCCGCCCTTCCGCTCCCCCCTCCCCCCTCCTTCTCCCTCTCCCCCTCTTTCTCCCTCCTCCTCCCTTACTCCCCCCTCCTCCCTCCCCTCTGCCCCTCTGCCCATCCTCCCTCGAGCCGTGGGCACTTCCGGGACCACTCTAGGCCTCACGGAGGTCTCAGCATCTGTGCTCCTGCTGAGCCAGGCTGCTGGTTAGCAGGGTGTCCCCGCGTCCTGGCGGTGGGGAGAGTAGAGTGGAGCCCGTGTTGGACAGAGTGCGCAAGAAAACAGTAAGGTTGGGAAAGGCGAGTCTAGAGCCTCAGATAACTGCTGCACCTTCCCTGAGGCTGGAATCTAGCTCCTTTGTTTCAAGGGTAACCCTTGCCTTGTCCCGTCGTCCCCCGACCCACCACCGCGCGGGCGCGCACGCTGCCCACATAAAACTGCAATGAGATAAAGGGAGATTAAAGGTTGAAGAGCCCAAAGATAGTCAAGACTGTAAACTGGACCCTCCTAGGACTCTGGATCCCCTAAAGGCTGCATCTAGGTGCTCACCTCCAAAAGTGAGGCACTTCTTTTTCTTTGTTTTTCGAGACAGGGTTTCTCTGTGTACCCCTGACTGTCCTGGAACTCTCTGTAGACCAGGCTGGCCTCGAACTCCCAAAGATCCGCCTGCCTCTGCCTCCCCAGTGCAAAGATTAAAGGTGTGCACCATAACCGCATGCCTTTGGCGTGGGGGAATGTGGTATTGTGTTCCCCGAAGTATTGTGCATGCTAATAAACTTATCTGGGGTCAGAGACAGAACAGCCACAATATTAAACATAGAGGATAGGCAGTGGTAGCACACGCTTTTAATCCTAGCATTCCAGAGGCAGGAATCCATGTGTTCAAGGATACGGCTCCCAAGAAGTGAGCCTTTAATCCCAGGGAGTGATGGCAAAAACAGAAAGATATATAAGGCGTGAAGACCAGAAACTAGAAGCATTTGGCTGGTTGAGCATTTGGTTGGTTAAACTTTTAGGCTTTTGAGCAGCAGTTCAGCTGAGACCCATTCTGGATGAGGACTCAGAGGTTTCCAGTCTGAGGAAACAAGACCAGCTGAGAAGTTGGTCAGGTGAGGTTAGCTGTGGCTTGTTCTCTCTCTCTGATCTTCCAGTTCACCCCAATACCTGGCTCTGGGTTTGATTTTATTAATAAGAACTTTTAAGATTCATGCTACAGGGGAAGGGGGACACTTCTTAGAGACCAGGAACAGGAAAGAAGTTGGATATGTCCTCCAGCCCAGGAATTTTATTTTGGTTTGAGACAAGGTCTCACCACATATCTACCCTTGGCTGTCTGGAACTCCCTATGTAGACCAGGCTGGCCTTAAAGTCACAGAAATCCACCCGAGTATTGGAATGAAAACCACATGCCACCACACTGGCCCAGGAATCTTTTTGAAGGCTCCAATCCCACTCAGTTCGGCTTCTAACAGCAAGATTTGCCCTGCAGTTAATTGTACCACCCCTTTGCCCATGACTACTCAGGTGTGGTTACCCATCTGTGGGAAAGCAGTAGAACACACTGTCTCTGAGGGGGAGGGATGCTATGGGATCTGTTACCTGCTTTCAGTGTCCTCATCCCTGGCCCTCGGGGCCCTTCAGAGAACACCTGCGGCTGACCGTCAAGGATCAGGGGAGACTTGTCCAGAGACTTCAGGGGGAGAAGCAGGGGCTGCCCCTCCCCCAAGCCGTCAGCATGAACTCTATGGGGACCAGCCACCCAAGAACAATGAGCGTTGGACCACAATCAGCCATGCGGAGCTGGTGGCAGGGTGGGGAATGAGGGGGTGAGGAGGGACATGTGGTAAAGGTTAGTTCCTTTTTCTCTACCTTCAGTTCATGAGATCACTGGGAGGTCAGGCACCAAGCTAAAACCCCTGGGGATCGGGACAAGGCTGGGCCTGTTCCCTAAGGGTCACAGGTGTTTCCTCTTTTGACAGCAATCACCAGAACCTCAACTCCCATGTCCTTTGATTTGTCGCTTTTTTTCTCCCAGGATCTCGTGGTCATCGAGACTGTGGTCGGCGTGTTGAATGTTATTAACTCATATTGCAGAGGAAGGGAAGCAAGACTTAGAGGAAAATGAGAGGTCAAGGGCAGAAGTAGGGGACAGACAGACGACGTTCATCCCATACCCCAGCCCTAAGGATCGAAGTTATAGGCTATGGAACAAAAGTAGTCCGCATCGTCCTCCGGCTGCACAGGGCTGATGGTCAGCACACAGACATTGAGGGCCATGTCCGTGGTAGCTGAGAACCTGTCCGGAATGTCATCAGGCCGATAGTGCTCCTCTTCTGAGCAGTAGTAGAGAAGATGGGGAGCACTGCCTGGGCGCTGCTGATACCAGGACACACCAAAGTCCCCAATGGTGGCATGCTGGGAATTGATTGTGCAGCCGAGTTGAGCCACTTGGCCCGGGAAGACCAGCAGTGCGTCAGGATGGGTCAGGGTTGTCTGGAAGCCTGAAAGATACAGACCCACTGAGGGCTAGCCTGGGCCCCTTCCTGCCTTGCTATGAAGATTTTGTTAGACACCCCCCCAAGGAGATTCTCACTCCCATCCTCTTCATAGCCCAGTGCCATAGGACTGGCCCTGGATGGAGCATGGAGGGCCTGGTTCCATGAGACTTAGTATGCGCTCTCTACAACTCTATTCTCCTCTGTGAATGAGGGGTAAGTGGCCCCTAAATTAGCGTTATTGTCATGTCTCCAAGAATCCATACGCAGCGGAGAGCCTAGTATTCAAGCACGAAATGGCACCTTCTATGCTCCTCTAGTACCTACTCTCCCCTACTCTGTGGCCCCCTACCCCTCAATCTAATCGCTGTTCTAAACCCTGGCCACAGGCTAACTGCCCCCTGGAACCTTCCAGGATGCGTAACCATCATGTTAGTTTCAAGCTTCTGGCCACAGAGGATGGTCTTAAAGGATCTATGGAGAAGGGGACTGTCCATATTAGCTTCCCCTGTGAGAAGCAAAGGGGACTAGTCGTCTCTTCAGAGACTCTAAAAGGGTCAGAGTGTCGGGAGACCCACAAATGGAGAAAGCAAGATCCACACAGGAAAGTGCCTTGCCCCTGGTCCTGGACAGAGCTGCCTGGAGCCTAGGCTCCACTCCACCTCTATCCCCCTCCTAGGATCCGCCCCATTGGCCCTACTGATTTTTTCTTTGCGTGGGTTTTCTTGAGCTAGTGCCAACCCCCACCTCACTCCCAGAGGAGTCTTACCTGCCAAGAAGGCTCCAGTCAGAAGGAGAGGCAGGCAACCGGGGCAGGCCATGGCCAGAGGCAGAAGGCTGACCTGGAGTTGTTCTGCTGGGCTGTGCTCTGGGTGCCTGTGGTTACAGGGATGGGGAAGCCTCTGGCCCACAACAGAGCATGCAAATCAGCCCACTGATTGAAGAGGGAAGTGTGGGTCTGGGGCCAGTGTCAGGCCCTGCCTTCCAAATGTCCTGACAGCAGAGCCAGCGGGAGATCAGAAGTTCTTCACGTCCAGTTCACATCCAGTTTCTGTAAGTCAGAATTCCCCAGAGAGCCCCCTCATACTCTTTTCTAGTCCTTAACAGTGGCTATCCACTAGAACAGTGGTTCTCAACCTGTGGGTCCGAACCCCTTTGGGAGTGTTAACCCTTTCATAGAGGTCACCTAAGACCATCAGAAAACACAGATATTTACATTATGACTCAAAACAGTAGCAAAATTATAGTGATGAAGTAGCAATGAAAATAATTTTCTGGTTGGGGGCCACCACGACATGAGGAACTGTATTAAAGGGTTGCAGCATTAGGAAGGTTGAGGACCACTGATCTAGAATGTCCTCAGAAAGGCCCAGGTGTCCCCAGCTTGACACTGTTGAGGGTAAAGGCCTAATGGGATGTCTTTAGATCAAGACTATGCCCTTAAAGGGTATAGAGGGGCCAGAGATTCGTCTCTCTTGCTACCCGGCCTGCCATGACCTTGCTCTATCCCATACGCTCTGCCATGATGCTTCCATGGCATGCTGCCTTATCATGACAGGCCCAGAAGCAATGTGCTGTGAACTGAAACTCCAAACCTATGATCTAAAACTAACCTTTCCTCTCTAAGTTGATTATCTCAGATAGTTGTTACAGGCATGGGAAATTCATACAACCTCCCAAGGAACAGTTGTTCTGGTTCCTACCACATTAGATTAATTTTGTTTGCTGTAGAAATTCTACTCTAAGTAGAATGTATGTATGTATGTATGTATGTATGTATGTTTGCACAGTGGTGCACGCCTTTAATCGGTCGGCCACGTGATTCTGAGATGGGGAAGGAGACCAAAACAACAGTACAGGCAAAGGCCACTCTCAGAGCTTAAGGCTCCCATCTTAGGCTGTCCTTCCTTCCGGAGTATGGCTCTAGGTGCCACCGTCTTCACACGGAACGCATCTCGGTTGTGTTCTGTAGGACATAAGTCCTCACAAAGGAGCCTATGCGTGAGTAAGCTCTGGAAATACCACTTGCTTCCACAGTACTGTTCTGAGGCCTGAGATGGCTTTTAAAATGTGGTAACATTTAAGATGGGCACAGTGGCACCCACCTCTAATCCAAGCACCTATCAGGCTAAAGCAAGAACTCTGAAGGAGGAAAGAAACTAATGTCTATACTTTTTTTTTTCCTAACGGATTTACCAATAAACTTGCTTCAAAAATACTAAGTTATATATCAAGCTAAAACTTAGCTAAAAAAGCATGCCTCTGCCAGGCAGTTTAGAGAGACAACCCTGGCTGACAACACCAATTAAACCCCGGGCCTCTATCAGAAAGAGCATCATTCTGCCAGTCAGACAGGATGATCCTGGTTAACAGCTGCCCAGGAAATGCAGTTGTGGTCTGCCTCGTGATAACTCTGGCAATAATTTTACATTGGAAATCTCCCCATTCATCCAAACAAACCAACCTTAGGATTTCTGTCTCTGTAAAAGATGTTTAATTGCTCCAAGTGTAACTTGGGGCCATGAAACTATAGAAGTAGAGAGGGATTTCTGTTCAAGGCTCATTCCCTTTTGTGCATTAGTTGGAACCAACCATGCACTATTATTAAAGAGTTTTTCCATCATTTATTTCTAAGTGGTGGAGTGATTTCTCACTGGGAAGGCAGATTAATTCTGTAACATCGTGAATCAAGGCCATCTGGGCCACATACAAAACCCTGTCTCAAATAACAGTCACAACAAAAAAGGGCTGTGAAAGCCACAGTAACCACAGAGTCACAACAAGCCCGCTCAGTCCTGGTGTGTATTTTACAAATGGAAATAGTGAGGCTAATACAAAAGAAAAGTGTTTGTCTAGGGGGAAAACGGGTCAGTGGTGAGCTAGATGGAGGACCCAGATTTCTCCCGAGTTACCCATCGAGAAATGTGCCCGCGGAAGGCAGAGCAGCCAGCCTGACCACGCAGGTGCCCTTCTGACACTGTGCTTGGAGGCTCCGAGTGGAGACTCGGAGAGAGAACACCATGCCAAAGCAGAGAGATGGGAAACCATGTGAGAGAATAAAAAAGAAAGAATGAGGAATCGCTTTTAAAAAAATCAATTAAGCCGGGCAGTGGTGGCACACGCCTTTAATCCCAGCACTCAGGAGGCAGAGGCAGGCGGATCTCTGTGAGTTCGAGGCCAGCCTGGTCTACAGAGTGAGCTCCAGGACAGGCACCAAAACTACGCAGAGAAACCCTGTCTCGAAAAACAAAAAAACAAAAACAAACAAACAAAAAAAATCAATTAAAGGATAACCTCAGAGATGGAAACCGAAACCAAACACTGCGTATGAGAATGTAGAACCCAGGAGCGAGCCTGGGAGGAGGAGAAGGAGAGACAGGCAAAGGTAGGCCTGCGGAGAGAAAGCCAGAGCTGCTCAGAGAACTGGGATTATAGCTCAGTGTGGAGCACTTAGCATTTGCGTCCCTGGATACAGAAGAAGTGTGGGGGTGGGGGTGGGGATGGGGATGGGTAGCAGGGACGCTAACTGGTAGTGAGAAATCACAAGCAGGTGCTTCTGGCCTGCTAAAGCTCTAGGAGGCCCAGGGCCCAAAGTAAAGCAACACAAACCGAGTACACACTGGAAAACACACGAGCACGCCCATATAAAGTTGAACACGCATTCACCTGCATTTCTTCCTGTGGTCCTCACTGGACCAGAGAAATGAAGACTGCCCCCACAAGAGCAAGTAGACAAAAGTTTCTACTGGCTTTTATTCATAATCTCCCCAAATTCCACAGCAACAGCAGGTGAGCGGGTGGGTCAACTCCTGGACACACCAACGACAGAACACGCTTCAGCAATAAGAGGGAAGCAACTACTGATCCCCACAGCCTGGATCATGTTGAGTGAAGAGACCGTGGGCCGTATGCTCTGAGCCCACTTATGAGACACCATGGAAAACGTGCGGAGGAAACGGCTGTGAATGGCAGGGACTCGGGCTGATGATATGAACCTCAACAACACTTAAAGATGAAGGGGACTTGGGGAGCTAACACTGCAGGAGGGATATAGCGTGCTGTAGCACACTAGGAGCCACTCGAGACGGCTTGAAGCAAGGGGAAGTATTTAAAGGTGACATGGATCACATAAGGGATTTGGAAACACTAATCCTTGGCTACAAGGATTAATAACAAGGGTGGCCCGTGTCCAAGACTAAACACACAGTTGCTGGGTGGATGGGATGGCCTTGCAGGAGGGTTTCTGCGTGAGGTTGTGGTGGCCTTTGTGCAAAGTTGTGGTTGTGGCAGTCTTTTGTGGTTAGTTCTTGTCATTAAACGAACATGCATGAAATCCCCAACGGTAGTCATCCAGCTTTAGTTACTTGGAGTAGGAGGATGGAGGCTAAGGACTATTTCTCTCTCTCTCTCTCTCTCTCTCTGTCTCTCTCTCTCTCTCTCTGGTTTTTCGAGACAAGGTTTCTCTGTGTAGCCCCCAACTGTCCTTAGAACTCACTCGGTAGCGCAGGCTGGCCTCGAACTCAGAGATCCGCCTGCCTCTGCCTTCCAGGTGCTGGGATTAAAGGCGTGCGCCACCACCGCCCAATGGTTAAGAACTGTTTTTAGTCTCACGATTCCAAAGAGTCACCTATGGAAAGGGGGGATGGAAACAGTCTGTATCCTGGTTGTGGTCATCAGAGACTTGTCAAAACAGTGCCAACAAGATGGCTCAGTAAGGAAAGAAGCTTGTCACCTAAGCCTGACGACCTGAGTTCAATGCCCGGGACCCACAAGGTGGAAGGAGAGAACAAGTTATCCTCTGACCGCCACACATACTCACTGTGGTACATGCATGCATACAAAAACACACACACAAAATAAATAAGGGTAAGTAATGTTTTCTAACTTGAAAGCCTTCCAAAGGGGAACATAAATTATACCTCCATAAACATGCCTAACAGAAGACAAGAGGAAACAGGAACAGAAGAAAATAATTGGCAGGCTGGGAGAGGGGAAAAGAAAGCCACACAGGAAGAGGTCATTGGGTGAGTGGGGCCTGCAGAGATGAGTGTGGGAGGGTGCTCACACCCCTGCAGCCTGCACAGTCTCTCTCCCTGGTAGGAGACCTGGTCTCTGAAACAGTATCCTGGCATCCTAGGGACCTCTGTCTGGAGCCTCCAAGATGGGCCTGACCAGAGCTCCACCTGAAGGCCCGCCCTAGTAGGTCCAGTTACTAGGATACTGGGGATAAAGCATTTCCTGCCTAGATGTCTTGGCAGCTCCCACTGCCATGGAGACCATCGGGAGCTGAAGGAGCTGCGGACACCCAGAAAGCAGCACAAGAAAAAGGAGGCCAGTGGTCTTGAACTAGCTGAGCAAGTGGGTGAGCAGGGGCCAGACCCGAGCCAGGAGCCAAGCCCACCTACTCAGCATTCCTCACACGCACAGTTCCCAGGTGGGAGCTGTGGAAGGAAGCAGGAGGAGGGGGTTCAAAGATCCATGGTCTGTCTGTCTCCTTCCTTCTTCAGCCATGTTTATCACTGTGATGTTTGGAGGTAAGCAGGGTCCTCTGTCCCAGAACACAGGGGCCATACTTAAGAGTTATTCGTCCCTCTGCCCGAAAGACCTAGGAGGGAGAGATACAGGCTAGGAGGGGGAATGGGAATTTGAGAAAGCTGTTCTTATGGGGAGGCAAAGCAATGCCAGGACAAGGGGCAGGGCCAGAGTCTGGGAGGACTTCAGCTGTGGTCCTGAATCCTCTATAGAGCAAGAGATGGATGGAAGGGTCTCCAGTGTGGTCCGAGCAACATTTGCCTAGGGTATTAGGCCTGAAGCACAGTACTAGCCCCATAATCCTAGTGCCATCTCTAGGTATGGGAGTGAAAATGCTCCTAGTTGGGGGAGGCTGCGATGTCCTACCCACTCAACTATGCCCCTCCCTTAGCTGGTTGTCAGGTGCTGGTGAACACCTGGTGCAGTCTGGTGACCTTCATTATGCATCTGAAACAGAAAGTTCAGGTCCCCCCAGAAGGTGAGAAGACCTGGGGGCCCTGGGGAGGAAGGACTGAGGGTCCCATGCCGGGGTGCAGGCTGCCCAGTTTATTCCCATTTCTGCCCAGTAACCATTGCTCTTCTGGCTGAAGACGGGCATCTGGTGAGGCTGGAAGAGGGGATCGCCCAGGCCCCCTCCATGGCCTGTTCCCTGTTACAGGAGCAAGGGACCTATGTCCTGGTACAGATCACTGGTGAGTGGGGCCCAAGACTCTCCGGTGCAGCTATGTTGACTATAAAGGAGAGACAGCAGGCCACAGACCAGCTAAGATCCTGTTCAGCCTCAACCTTGGCTGGTTCCTATACCCAACCATCCCTATCCAATGCCTGTCCTAACCCCCAGCCTGGGCCAGGAAACAGACACAGAATAAAATGTAGGATGGGGACCACCAAGACAGTTTAGGGTCCTTTGCTCTCTATATACTCTTCAGGAGGGAAAGATGGCACTCCCACCCACTACAAGTCCCTACTGGACAACCTAGATGACCACTGTCCCGAGTTAGCAGGTACGTATCAAGGTAAGTGGGGGTGGGGGCACATCTATGCAGCTCCCAGCAATGAGATTCCTGGGCTTTCCAGAGGAGCTGGACTGGCTCTCCGGCTTTCCGGCTACAAGCAATAGTCAGAGAAGACGCCCAGGCATTCGGCGTGGCCACCGGGAACAAGGCCCCCCTTCAAGGTCTCGAAGGGTGGTCTCCCTACCATCTAGAAACCGCTAGCCGGAGCCTGAGCCAGGTACAGAAGAGTTATGGAAACTCAGGAAGATCCAAAAGGGGGGGAAGCCCTTCCTGAGAGACACGTGTGCTGAGGGGTACAGCTTTCACACATCTACACACCCAGGACAGTACACACTGTTCCTAGAGATAAGTCCCACTATACCGCTGGAGGATAAGCATCCTAAAGGCAGACATGCTATGAGTTTAGGAAGCTGGTACACACTTCTCCAGCCTGGCACACCGTAGGTGCTCAATGCACAGCTGCTGACTGTGAAAACAGCAACAGTGTGTGATGAAACCGTCTGTGCTGGGGTCTGAAGGGCCTGCTTCCGTCCCAGCAGGTCCTGTGACCTGGCGCGCCACGGCCAAGTGGCCCGGCTGGACGTGGATCCAAGGGGACTGGCCCTGACCTCTGCATCATGATCAACTGCACACAGACCGCAGTCCAGCGGGACTCCTCTTTCAGAATCTGGCATTACTAAGAAGTTGCATCAGCAAGAAGGGAAAGGTCACAGACAGGATGCGAGAGGCCCCTCCACCACTCCCCCCATTTGAGTGCAGAGAAAAGGATCCAAGGACAGAAACAAGAAGAGTGAGGGGGCCGAAGGTCTGTGGGGCAGACAGGAGGCTCCTCTTGCGGTTTCAGGTCCCAGGGACTAAGGCCTCAGCCCTCTCTCCCCACTTTGAGATCCCTAGAGGAATCTGTCCTTGGCTATTTACAATGTAGATTATAACAGGGTTCCTCCCACCCCACCCTAGAAGTTCAAGGACAGCCCAGGGTTACACAGCAGGAAATATTCTCTCTCTCTCCCTACACACACACACACACACACACACACACACACACACACACAAAAGGAGAGGGAAAGAGGGAGAAAGAGGAAAGAGAGAGGGAGAGAGAGAGAGAGAGAGAGAGAGAGAGAGAGGAGACTTAGCACACTATGTCTCCATTCACCCATCTCCCCTGATCCCACCTCCCAGCAGCAGACAAGGCAGTCAGTTGGGACACACAGCAGGCTGTGTTCTAAAGTAAATGCTTTAATTGAACATTTATGTCTCTTGTTAATCTGTGGGGTGAGAATTACCCTCCTGACTCCCAGTCCCAGGTACAATCTCATCTTGGTCAAGCTGTCGGTGAGGGGTTACGGTGAGAGCAGGCCCACGGCCTCCTCAGGGCAGAGAGCTCAGACCTGTGGAAGGAACCACAGCATCGAGCGGTGATGATGATCAGCAGGGTACCAGAGGTCTGTCCCTCCCAACCCCACCTGTATCACCCCAACCACTCACCATGATTGTATTTGCATTGCTTCAGGGCCTCGCTGAAGCCCTCACACAGGGTTAGGTCACTCTGAGTGGTTGAGCAGTCCAGGAACTGTTTGATCTCATAGGAGCAGGGCCCCATCTGTAGGGGGTGAGAGGCAGGACGGGCAGGGGCCTGGGGGGGAGAGTGTAAGAGTCAACACGGTCAGCCCGAGGTTGGTACCCAAACTTAAGTACCAAAGCTAGAGGCTTACTGCCTCTACCCACATCCCTAGCCCTGGTCCCTCAAGAATGGTTCAAGGCAGGCTGAGTGACCCAGGGCGAGACTGCCCCCGTCCGGCCTCAGCGGCATCCCTGGCACAGGGTGAACCAGCGGCCTTCTATAGGTCACTCAACAGATAAGAGTTTTCTTTCTGCCTCAAAATGGACATGATGGGCAAATGCAGGAAGGGGAAGGGAAGGTTCTAGAAAAAGCTGTACACTACATGTGTACACAGAGTATATATGCCCTACTCCAAGATACAGCACCTTCCTGGCTCAGTCACATTGAATCTCATGACTCAGGACTCACACTGCTAACTAGCATCTGGATTTGGTTCAAGACTCGTGGGGAATGGAAGAACCCTAGTGGGGCACAGGTCACCAGGAAACAGATGCCATGATGGGCTTTGGTGAGAACAAGGGCTTGGGAAATACTGCATCTCTCCCTGCTCCACTAGGGTTAGGTGTCCTTGGAGAAGTCTTGGCGCTCATCTGAGCTTGGATTTTCTCCGTCTTTCAAGGACTGGTAGGTGTCAGTCTCTAGCTGTCAGACATTTTGCCCGCAAACGAAGGCTGGGGCGAGCTTTCCAGCTAGGGGACAGTAGGCTTAACAACCACGAGGGTTAGGACCCTCTTTTGGTTAAAGTCCTGGGCCTGGGGCAACTCTGAACACACTGGGTCACCCCTTGCTGGACGCTTAAGCGGTTCCTTTAGTCTCCTTGAGCGAATGCTGCCTCCGTTTCTCTTAAATCCTCTTGCTCACCTGCTGGACGGCAGGCTGGGCAGGCTCCGAGCTTCCCCCACTGAAGGCGCTGGTCAGGGCATTACCCATGACATGCCCTACAGCTGAGCCCACAGCTACGCCAGCTGCGGTGGATGCCATCTGAGCCATAAGGCCCGGCTGGCCCGAAGCGGCAGGTGCCGGGGCGGGCGCTGAGGGTGGTGGGTGAGCAGGAGGGTGGGCTGGGCGGCTGCAGGAAGCAAAGGGAGGCAAGGTTAGTGTTCCCGGAACAAGCCCCTCTGCTCCGGGGACCAGGGCGACCCTCGTCTTAGACTCGTGTTTCTGCGCCCCGGTCCTCCCCCAAGCCAACATGGCGCAGCGGCTTCCAAGGTCATTCTGCGGACGCCCTTGGGAGACTTCCCACGCTTCCCTCGCCCCTTCCCACGGGGTCCCTGTCCCCCTCACACCTGGCCGGCCTGGCCGCCGCGCTGCGGCTTCCCCGAGGCATGGCAGTGGCAGGACCCAGGAGGAGCAGAGTCAGAAGCGAGGACCGTAGCGGCCGCTCAGTGCGGGAACAAACGCTGCAGCGTGCGGCGAGTCAGGTGAAATGGGTGGGACCCGAGGCGGGGCCTCGGGGACACGCCCACCAGTGGGCGGGGCAAGCCTCCCCCTTCCAGTAACCTCCTGGATTAGGGCCCCTGAGCCATCCTACTGCGGGGAGGAGCTATGAGGGTCCTTGAGACTCCGGTCCGAGTTACAGACCCCGAAGGCTTAAGCAGGGGCAGCGAGGGCAGTGCTTTCTGTTAGGACTATCTCAGATCCCAAGGGGTTTGTCACGAGCCCTGGAAGGAAGAAGGGACACATAGGCCATCATCGGAACAGGGAACGGGAGATTCCAGGCCCGGCTTCGCTCCCTGACTCCTGTCACAAGATAGGGTTTGACAATAACAGTTCCAGGATCACCAAAGGACTAGATCCCAAAGGCCTTCAGTGGTGCGTTATCAGAATCTGAGCTGGGAGGTGTCTCGATCCTTCTGTTCCTTCTTCGATTCTCACAGCACGCTGGCATCCTTGAACTATGCCTGTTCCAAGTGTGCCCAGGGTCCTTAACCCTGAGACCACCATACCGCAGGCACGGGGGCTCCCGGCATCCTGGGATATAGCGCCAAAAACTGGTAGTGTTTTTGAAACATTCAAGCCGTCCCAGAGGTGACCTCAGTGTCTAGAGGTGTTTGCCAGCCGAGGTCAAGCCAAACCTAGAGCTTATCATTTTTAGAACCTTTGACCTTTATTTGAGAGCAGCTCCTTCGCTGTCCTCTGGAACTTGGCTTTTACGGTCTTTCCTCGGAGACTTTTGGCTAGGGTCATGACATATAACCTCTGGCAGAAAAAAAAAAAAAGTTAAAATAGCCGGTGGTGGTGGTGCATGTCTTTAATCCCAGCACTTGGGAGGTAGAAGCAGGTGGGTCTCTGTGAGTTCGAGGTCGGTCTGGTCTACAGAGCGAGTTCCAGGACAGCCACCAAAGCTACACAGGAAAACCGTGTCTCACCCCCCCCTCAATAATAATAATAATAATAATAATAATAATAATAATAATAATAAAGTAACCTCTGGTCAGAGTAGGGTGGGCACAGAGGGACCATAATTTCTTTCCCTACTTCTGTTGGATACAGAAGAGATCACCTGGCACCAAACATTCTATAAAAGCAAAAGTCTCAGGAACAAGGAGTCAAAACTATTCAGGACTGCACACCGGACATGAAGTCCATGCCCATTCCTGTGTCCCAGACCTTGTTTCTTTCAACAGCCTCTGTAGCTGGCCCTCTTCAACCAGGACTTCAGTTCTCTTCTAAAGTAGGGTCCCCACCTGTCTGCAGGGTGGATTTTCCCAGTGAAGCGAGCCGCTAAAGGATGAACCACTCTTTCCTCAAAGAAATGCCAGGCTTTGCTCCAGACCCACTGGCTTATAGGTCTGGTCTCTGCTTACCTGGTATCCAGTGGGCAAGTGGTAACATCTTTCCAGGTTCAACTTCTTCTGCAGGCATCTGTGGCTATCCCACCTGTATAAATGCAGCCATCTGCCCTTCCAGATCCCATACCAGGGATGGTAATGCCTTAGCCCTTGTCTGATAAGCTGCAGGTCCCTCAAAACATGGCCATGCATCCCTGGCAACACGGAAGACTGTTTATGTGCTGCACAAATGAATGTTTTAGGGTTTGGGGGGTTGCTTTGTTTTGTTGAGATGGGGTCCCTCTATGTAGCCTCACTGTCCTGGAACTCACTCTGTAAAACATGCTGGCCTCAAACTTACAGAGATCCACCTGCCTCTGTCTCCCAAGTATTGGGATTAAAGGTGTGCATCACCATGCCCAGAGAAGAGTTTATTTTTAAAAGGCTATACTTCATATGCATCAGAAAATGTATGAATACCTCATCCATTTCATGATTTCTTTCTTTGTTTTGCTTTGGGTTTTGTTTTTTTTTGTTTTTTTGTTTTTTTTTTTTTTTTGGAGACAGGGTTTCTCTGTGTAGGCCTGGGTGTCCTGGAACTCACTCTGTAGACCATGCTGGTCTCAAATTCACAGAGATCCGCCTGCTTCTGCCTTCCAAGTGCTGGGATTAAAGGCATGAGCCACCACCGCCTGACCATTTCAACACTGCTACAATGAGGCTGAACCAGACCTTGACATTCTAGACATGATATGTGCTTGTAATCCCAGTATTCAGATAGGCTAAGACTAGACTCTGAAGCTGGAGGCCTGCCTGGGCTTTGTTTATGCATAGGAGACTCTATCATGAAAGAAAGACAGACAGACAGGAAAGAAGGAAGAAAGGAGAGATGAGGGGGCCAGACAGGAAGGGAGGAGGAAAGAATGAAAAGTGCCAGCCATTAAAAGGTGAGGCTTTTTAAAAGATCGCAGACAAGCAAGTAAAATGCACTGCTCTCTGACCCCAATTGCGCATCAGCTCAGGGCCCTGCCTGCCTGCCTGCCCTCCTGATTCTTAGCTTTGGAGGTTTTCCAGTGCAGTACATTTCATCAAAGAGAATACACAGCACAGTTGTGGTGTGGGATATTTGTGTGAAGGTATATTGCTGTGATTGGTGTAATAAGAAGTTGAATGGTCAATAGCTAGGCAGGAGTTGTAGCTGGGATTTCCGGGGAGAGAAAGGAAGAAGAGGAGGAATCTAGGTGAACAGGAAAGGAAAGGAAACAGGGGGTGCAAGATGGAAGAGAGGTAACACAATGTGATAGAATGTAGATTAATATAAATGAGTTAATTTAAGTTATAAGAGAGAGTTAGGAGCAAGCCTAAGCTATAGGCCGAGCTTTCATAAGTAATAATAAGTCTCCATGTCATTAGTTGTGAGCTGGCGGCCCAAAGGGAAGTCTGTCTACACAGCTGGGCACCCCCTGCAGAGATGAGAGTGGATGAACCTCTCGAGCATGTGGACCTCACTCTCACCTTTGGTTCTGTCCTTCACGTCTCAGATGACTGGGCCTGACTGGTCAAGAAAAGCCCACTGGCCAGGGCCTGAGCCAGGGAACAACCTGGGTTTCAGTGCCCCACTCAGACATCTCTTAACGCTCCTCTCCTTCCAGGCATCTGATCCATTTGTCTGCTAGTACAGAAGTCTGGTCCCTCCCTCCAAGATCCTGGGTAACTGTCTCTGGTCTGAAGTCGTTGTATGTATGTACGTATGTGCATCAGTGTGTGCCTAGTGTCCGTGGAGAGCAGAAGAAGGCATCGGACTCTAGGAGAGCCACCGTGAAGAGTGCTAGGAATGGGACCCTGGTTCTCTGCAAGAGCAACAAGTGCTCTTAACGGCTGATCCATCTCTCCAGACCCGTCTCTGGTTTAAGGTGAGGGGCTGGCCACCTTCTGCCATATATATGCCTTAGTTTCCCCAGAAGTCATACTTCAATAGCGGGTTTCTTGCAGGAACTATTGTACTGCATTCCTAGTGCATTGGCTAGGGCTGTGAGGATGGAGGATTTGACCACCTGTCGCAGGCTAGAAGAAGTCAGACAGAGAGAGGTCAAGCCACTGTGGAGACTGGCAGAGGATGAGACTTCTGAAAGTGGGGTTGGCTATTATCAGTCTGAGGGGTCCAGCCCCTCCAGGCACTCCTCCCTAACCCAGGCCGGGGTTGCAGACCGGCTGAGTTTAGAACAAAAGGCAGGGGAAGGCGGGGCGGTGGGGGGGTGCGGTCCCGGCGCCGGCGGGGGGCGGGGCGAATGCTATAAGGGGCGGCAGCCCTGCGCGGCCCAGCAGGCCCAGCAGCCCCGGGGCGGATGGCACGGGCCGCCTGTCTCCTCCGCGCGATCTCGCGCGCCCTCCTGCTCCAGCCGCCTCTGCTGCTGCTGCTGCTGCTGCTGCTACTGCTACTGCTGCTCCTGCCGCCGCCGCTGATGGCCCGGGCCAGGCCACCGGTGAGTGCCCGCCGCTCCTCCCCGAGGGAGGGCTGGGCACGCGGGCTGGGCCCACTGGCTGAGCTTGACCCACCGAGCGCCCCCGGCTACCCTAGCGCAATCGGTCCCTGAAATGCCTTTTGGGTTTCTCTGGCCGTGATAATGAGCTTCCCGTCGCTGGAGGTGTGCAAGTGGAGCCTATGAGGCTGGTTAAGCGCGACTGTGCGCTGGACTCAGCTTGGGGACCGGCTTCGCCAGCCCCAGCTAGGGATGCTGGAGTGTGTGTTGGTAGAGGCAGCAGAGGGAGTGGGTACCAGGGCCCCTTGGTTCATCACAGGAAGGAAGCAAAGCAAGTCTAGGGGAGGGTCGGGGGTGGCAGCCTCCGGTGATCACCCCTGCAAGGTGTGAACAGTGGATGGAGAATAAAGGAAGAGCTGGGGAAGGAGAAAATGGGGCCCACGTTGAGAGAGGTGCCTCCACCTGCAGAAGGCAAGTTTGGGAGACTTGGAGCCAACCGAGAATGTACCTGAGAGAGACAGTGTGTATGAGCATCGGGTGGCAGTCAGAATAAAAGGGGGCACTGAAACTGGGTGCTGTAGACACTCAGGGAACAAAAACACAGGGAGAGAAAGGAAAGGGGGTGCAGAGAAGGAGGCAAAGAGGGAGAAGAAGGATCGAGGGGCTCACAGCCTGCGTGTCCCAATGGCTGCATCTTTCCAGGCTGGCCTTTGAGGTACCTGCCACAGTAGCAATTAAGTGGGCTGGGGCTGGAGCGGGGACCACTACAGACCTACAATGCCCACCGGGTACCCTGCCCTTAGCTGCCAGCTGAGCTCAAGGAATGATGGGAGAACGGTATGACAGGCAGGTGTCCTGGGACTGGCCCCTCAGTCCAGCCACACTGGTCCATCTGCCAGTTTTGCCCCACACTGGCCTCGGGAGCAAAAGCATTTGGAAAGGGGGGGGTGGGTATTGAAGGAGGGTGGGTATCATGGATCAGGAGCTCCTCAGGCAGAGTATGGAGTTTCCTGCCCTAGAACTTGGAGCACAGTCGCTAGCAACCCCCACCCCAGCCCCACTGCCATGGATTGAACTCATGCCTTTGGGAGTTTGCACCATGAAACCTTGAGTGAATGCACCCCAAACTCCTTGGTCTATACGAGGACAAAGCAGGAGGGCACGCCAGCACCTACTGT